AGCATAAAATATTGGCTGTGTATTAAAAAATAATGAAGAACTTAAAAATAATGCTTTTAAAATTTATAAATATAATCGTTGATAATTATTCAATAAAATTTTAAAAATTATCGTTAATTTTAAATCTTCTTAATCTTTTGTTATGAAATTCTTGTTTAAAAATAAATAAACTTTCAACAATAATTTATATATTGATTATAAATAAGTACAATGCGAAGAAGATCAACATATTTCGCCACTGTGTTTTATTCAGTGCGGAAGCCGAAAGCTTACTTAACATCCTAATAGTTTTTGCTAATTCATCATAACGTTTTTCTAATTGTTCAAGTTGATCATTTTTAAGATCAAGAAGAAATGTTGGTAATTCTAATATTAATGTAGAATCTTTTGACATAATTGATGATGAAAAATTTTCTCCTTGTTCATTAAGATAATGTGTTAAACCACAACCAACATAGATTAAATCAAATTGTAGATGACGATATCGTTCTTTACTAGCTGTACATAAATCTGTAATACTATTTAATGGTAATAGTATTATTTTAATTTGATTATTTTGTTCTTGTAGATGACTTAATAGTTTAAGAACATTATATTCAGATACATCTGTAGCTGTTTTAACAAATTTATCATTAGCTTTAGCTTGCATTTGTGAATCATCATTATCAATAGGTAATAGACCATGAGCAATAAATGGTCCAGTTATAATATCACCCCAATAACCACGACGTGCTTGTTTAGTACCATCAGAATTTTGAAAAACAAATGCTGATGCAAGTGTTCGATTTGGTTGTGTATAATCTTGACGTGTTAAACGAAAAGCAAGACCATTTTCACGCCAATCACCATATTCATGTGGATTCAAACGTTTGAAACCTCGTTCAGATAATTTCATATGTAAATCCCAATCAAAAGCATTACGACGAGTATCAAAACGTGCTCCTTTAAATTTTTAAATAAACGTTTTTTATATTAAAAGTCATCGAAGTGAAATAATTTCTTTTTCTCAAATCAAACATTTTTGATTGTAATAGAAAAATTAGATTCATCATTGATGAGAGTAAAAAATTTTGAATTAGTCAAAAATATCAAATAAAGTTTATAGTATTGTGGTGCACGAGAGTTGTATATTAACTTTTCATTGATATTTCGTTCTGATTGTCTATCATTGAGAGACATAGAATATACATATTTAAAAAGATTTTCTATATGACGAAAATTTTCAAAAATGGCAATAATACTCGATCTAATAAATATTTACCGTTACTATTGAAACTCGTTTTGTATTATCTTGAAAAACAAACATAGTTCTCACTTCAAAATCTCCCTTTTAGTGGATCAAATTGATAACGAACGGAACTTCATGTTTCTCCGATCTTTAGATTATCCCGATACAATATAACATATTTGAGTTATGCCTCAATAAAAACCAAAACCGTTGCGCTTACGACTTTTGATTTCAGCTATAAACGGTTGCAGAGTGTTTTCTACCTAAATTCGAACCATTTATTGAAAGAAATTCAAATTAACCGAGAAGACAATAATTTCAGAATTTATCTCATAGCTAGAACTGATTTAGGCTCCATGGTAAGTACAGACGCATAAACAATCCTAAAGAACTTCGAAAATGATTCAATTCTGTCAGTTTTAACAGACCTACGCCCCACCCCCACCCCCCCCCACCACCCCTCGCCACCACCACCCACCAC